CCGTTACTGGGGAGACAAACCATGCAGGACACACTGTTGGACATGGGTTTCATCTGATGTCCAAATAGAACTGTTGTCATTTTCAAACTGCTTCAGATTTGTCCCTGAAGTGTTTTCAGAGGTCAGCTGTCGGTTGTTCACTAATCCTGTCCATGTGTTTCAGAGGAGAATTCTTCCCAAACCCACCAGGAAAAGTCGCACGAAGAACCGACAGAAGCGTCCCAGGAGGTGAGTTTCAACCCGTGTTTGGAACAATGCCTGCGCTCGTTCAGTAACGTTCCAGCTTCAGGTTTGGCTTTTGTCCTTCAAAATCAACACAAGGTCAACAACGCAGTGAAATGTTGAGGGTGAGAAGAACCAGCTCCACTCACCAGAACAAGACGAGAAATCCCAAAACATGCTGCAAAAATGAACAAGGCGCCAACAGTGTAAAAGAAATGCATCTAGAGCAGCGTGGCCCTGCTGGCTGACACCATGCTACTGTTAGCGCCGTGGTCTTAGCAGCGTTAGCAGGTCCCGTTAGCAGCAGGATGATAAAGACCACAGCAACTGCCCCAGACTGTCCTCCAGAACCGGCTCTGGCAGGTGGAGAACATCCAAGGCTCCCCCGTGGAGCTGAAGGGGTCCGTTGAGTTGGGCCGGTGCAGGTAGATGGAGGATCGTGGAGACGGTCACAGGCCTGAACCTGAACCCGTCTTTAAACGTTGACGTCTAAACTAAACATTTTATAAAAATGTAAGTCTCAAACAGGATTGCTTCAGAAAAACTAATGCAAATTCAGAAATACCGTACCTGCAAACTTCACGGATTTCATACTAAAATGTCATTTACATGAATCGTAGACTGGGGGGGTTCAAGTGGGGGTCAGGTGGATGGCATCGCTTTCCTTTTAAAAACTGCGTTCCTCAAGTCACTTGTCTAAGTACCATATATTTCACCCTATTAGTCTCACTTCATGCCACTTAAGGCCGAAGCAACGTATTTATGGATTTTTCCATATTTATAAACGGTTTGTGTTGGAGTTATGACTTTTCATTCATTCTGGCTGAAAATAGACAACACGACCATTTCTCAGCTGCTAGATGGCATTCGATAGCTATGGCATGCCATTGTGTCATGTAATAGTTAACATGGCTATTGCTGCTGCTTTCTACAGCGTGTGACCTTGGTAGGGATGGATTTGATCCAGTATCAGCCTCTGATACCAGCATAATTTACGTATCGGATTTTCCAATCCACCTGCCGATATTTCCGATCCATGATTCATGTTGGCTTCAAACTATGGAATGGATTTCCTGAACGTGTCTCATGAGCCCAGAGTAATAAGACCCTCCTCACATTCAGGAAATCCAGTTCATAGTTTGCAGCAGCTACAACGTGAGGACTGAGCAGCAGCACTGTGGCTAACAGCTAACAAACTTTTCATCTAAACATGTCGCTGTGTGGAAGTATTTTACACTGAACACCACAAAGCAAGACAGCAACGTGCACTGTCTGCAGAGCCACAGCACCACATTAAACCACGGTAAAGTTAGTTTTATGTTGGACATTCGAGCTCCGGGGCTTCAGCGGGGCGCTGCTCTTTGGTCAACCCAAAACAAGCGACCCCGGTCAGCTGCGTCCACTCTGTCCCCGCTCAGTCTGCCCGTCTCTGAGGAGGGACAGACTGAGCGGGGCTGACCCAGATCAGACTGCCTGCTTCGGACTGAACAAGAAGACGTCGCTGAAACCACGGAGCTCTAATGTTTACAGAGAAGTTGATAAACTTCATCATAATTAATGACCAACCACTATCAGTTGTAGAAAACAAAGGATTTCTCAGTTTGATACTTGCAGTCAAGATCTAGTTTACCCTCCAGAGATATTTATCAGTACAACAGTAAACAATCATAAAAAATAAAAAAAACAGGATTTGAAAATTATATTAAAAACAAAAACAGCTACATTATAAATTGATGTAAAATACTAAAAACAGGAACATGTCTGTTGGTTTATGTCATGAACTTAGCAGATGTTTGAAGCCATTTAACATTTAATTTTATTCATTTATTCATTCATTTAAATGAAACGAAATTAAACATCAAAAAGAAAACATTGAATGAAAAGAGTTCAGGAAGAAGAAAATATTTCTTATATCTGCCCCTTATTTAAAAAATATAAAATAACTTTAAACAATCACTTAAATTAATCACTTTAATATCCACTTTAAAACTAGGAATAAAAAGAAACATGTTTTGTGTTAGCAGGATTTAATTCTAACTTTAAAACTTATCCAACATTAATAAAACTTACCTCAAGTTGCCTTTTTGGACATGCATGCATATATTTGTACAAATTGTACTTGAGAGGAGATTATTACAGCCTCATGTAAAATCAATGATGATCATGATATCTGAACTGGATCGGTATCAGCTGATACTCAGTTCTAGGGATCGGGATCAGATCGTAATTTTAAAAAGTGGATCGGTGCATCCCTAGACCTCGGTCCAGCTCGTCTGGAGCGACCGTCACATCAGCCCCCCAGAGAAATGAAGCTCATTGACCTTTGAAGAGAAGTATGAAATAAAAAGTTCAACCTTTGCTTCAGGGTTGAGTCTCTCCGTCCGGGGGCTGGATGTCCAGCTCGAGGGTGCCACAGCCCGCTGGTCCACCGCAACTTAACTTTGGTTGCTAGACGGGGATTACATGCCGTCACAGTCGGACCGAGGTTCTGGCAGAGGAGCAGGTGTGCTGGTATATATTGGGAATACATTTAAATGTCATTTGGTTGAGTTTAGTCACTTTATCTGTGTCAATGAACTTCAGTGTTGTTGTTTTTTATAACCCACCACATAATGCACCATTTTATAATGAACTAGGTAACGTAGTGAAACAGCTTGAGGTTTATAGAGAAACTGTGATTTTAATATCAACTGCTTAGATAAAGGCGGCAAACAAAAACTACAAACAGTAATGGCTAAATTAAATTATCAGCAAGTTGCTAAAGGCCCTGCTAGAGTTACTCTGCAGACTAATACACTTACTGATTTGATGTTAACTGATCGACCGGAGCGACTTCCTGAACAAAGACTGATAGTTTGGAAGACTCGACGGCATCAACACTGTAAAATCTATTCTTCCTAAATCAAGCTTTCTGCAGTTGGAACACGAGTTACACAATCTAAACTGGGAATCTAAACTGGGAACAAGTAATGGCCATGAAGAGTGTGGATGGATGCTGTGACGCTGTAACGGTAGCAATCACAGGGCTAACAAACATTTACAAAGGAAATCAAATGCAAAACGCAACGAAGTACACCTCCGTGGTTAAGTCCTGATATTATTAAACTTATGAAAACTGGAGATGCAGCTCTAAAGAGAGCGTTCAAATCAAAGCTCCTTACCGATCTCGTGTCGTACAAGAGTTTGAGGAATAAGGTGGTTGCAACAAGAAGCTTTACGTAGTTGAACGTTCAACTTGTGGAGGCCAAGGGGTGATGATGGCACTCTGCTTTGGAAATACTTGAACAATTTAACACAGAGTCAAAATAAAGGTATTAAAGAACTTCCTATAGATGGTACAATTATTACTAACCATGGCAAATGAATGCAACTCTTACTTTGTACGATCAGTGGAAGAGTTCACGGCATTGTTTACCGCATATTTCAACACGGGTTGATAATCACTCTGCTCAGGAGGTGTCAAGATTATTTTTAGATTAGACAAATTGATGAAAGAAACCTGCACAAATCATTACAAAACTGTCTAAAAAGCCACAATTAGTATTCTAGGCATCATTTGAATTAAAGAAATATACAAATACTCTAAGCCATTGACACATTTAGTTTATCAATTAGTACCTCCATATTTCCTTCAGGGTGGAAAAAGGCAGTTGTACCTGGGGAGACAGGATTCTATGAATATTTATCGATCTTACCTGTATTATCAAAAGTGATTGAAAGAACAGCAGTAACACAACTGACTTATTTGGAAGCTAGTCGGCTCCTCCACTCGTTAGTTTGGTTTTAGATCCAGGTACTCTACCGAGATCGCCTACTGCTGCTTGGTGGAAAATATAAAGAAGTTTGTTGACCAGGGAAAGGTGGTTGCGGCAGTATTTTTAGACCTTAGAAAAACGTTGGACACAGTGAGTCATAGTCGGCTGCTATCTAAAATGGCATCTTGTAAAATTTCAGATGAAGCAGTGGGCTGGTTTACTTCATATCTCCAAGACGGGCAGCTACGTGTTAGTGGCTCAAGAAAATCTTCATTTTTAAACATCAAAAGGGGACTTCCACAGGGCTCTATATTAGGGCCACTGTTATTCAGTCTCTTTATAAATGACCTACCTCTTGTATGCAATGGTGTAAATTGTGAACTTTACGCAGATGATGCAGTGTTTTATGCACCTGCTAAGACACTACAACAGATGTCTTGTCTGCCTGTATGGAGGAAGTGAACTGTTGGTTATTCAATAATGAGTTGGTAATCAATTTAAGTAAAACAGTGTCAATGTGCTTTTCCATTAGAAAACATGTACAACAAAATTTTCAAATTTATTTACAGGATGAAATGATTAAAAATGTAACAGGATTCAAATATCTTGGGCTGTTTTTAGATCCACAGCTAAAATTTGAGAATCCATAAACATTTCCAAAAAAGTCAAAAGAAACCTTAATTGTTTCAAATGAATAAGACCTTACCACGCCTCTGTGTGGCGTGCTAGCTTAGCACTACGTTAGTGCCAGCAGTTGTTGACCAGGTGGGGGTGTTGGGATGCTCAAGGTGAGCAGAGCGTGCTCTATTCACACAAGGAGAGCTGTTGGTCAGGTTACATTTTATGTGAGTAAACATAGATGTTTAACCCCTTAAATACACCATAATGCTTTATTCAAAATCTTCTGGAGGGGATCCCCAGACCCCCCCACCCAGGTGTGCCCCCCCCCCCCCCCCCCCCACCCACACACACACACACAAATGCTTCTGACTAGGCTTGTCACAATAACAAATTTTGCTGGGTGATTGTCTCAGAAATTATTGCAATAAACAATAATGTTTGAAATTTGACAATTAGTAATTGTTGTCAAATTAAAGAAGAATGTGTGTAATTAGTTTTGCATGTAGTACTTTTTTTTGACCACCGGGTGGCAGATGGACTGAACCGAAGGATGGATAGTGAGGGAGCAAGCCGCGTGTCTCTGTAAGAAAAATGGGAGGGAGGCCCCTTGACGTGACATGGGCTGTCTCTTCTTTATCAGTTCTCAAAATGGCAGACGCTCAGTTTGAGTTTTTTAGCATTTGTCACACAAAGCTTTTAATTAAAAATCAGTAAACAAGTTCTTGGCTTTTTTTTGCAGAGAAAAACAACTTTGCACAAAGTCACAGGTTTCAACTGTGAACTTTGGAACAGACAAGACGGAGGATTTTTCCTCGAGGTCGGCCTGTTAGCTTAGCTCGTAGCTTCGCTTCTCAGCTTTAGCTGCTTTTAACGATCCAAAAACATGATTTTAGACGATTTTAAAGAGAAAGGGAGGAGTCTGTGAAGAACCGGAGTTGAGCCTTTTGTCGTCCAGTGTCTTCAGTAGAGAGACATGAAGAAGCGATAAAGCTGATACATGAAGAGGTCGATTAGTTTCATTTATCACGCGATTGATTGATTGATTGATTGATTGATTGTGACGACAGGCCTAGTTCTGACACCAGTGCTGGTAAAACGTTTCATCATCACTAAACATTTTCACTGCACATCATCTTTGTGTTGATGCTGGAAATGAGTCCAGCTCCTACTCTGAAACTTATTTAGAACTCTGCGAGTCCTAAAACCAGCTCTGTGGAACTTCTTACATAAAAAAATATATATATATTTATTATTATTATTTTTTAATTTTTCATTTAAAAGAAGCAAAAAAATCATTAAAGAAAAAAACACTAAATAAAAACGGTGCAGGCAGCACGGTGGTTCAGTTGGTAGAGCTGCTGCCTCTCAGCGAGCAGGTCCCTGGTTCAAACCCCGGTCCAGGGGTCTTTCTGGGTGGAGTTTGCATGTTCTCTCCGTGCATGCGTGGGTTTTCTCCGGGTGCTCCAGTTTCCTCCCACAGACCAAAAACATGCATGTTAGACTGATTGGTAACTCTAAATTGTCTCTAGGTGTGAATGAGAGAGTGAATGGTTGTTTGTCTCGTTTGTCTCTCTGTGTCCCTGTGATGGACTGGAGACCTGTCCAGGTGTCCCCCGCCCCTCACACAGTGATTGATGGACATGGACACCGGCGACCCCCGTGACCCAAAATGGAATAAGCGGGTAAAGATGATGGATGGAAAGGGTGCAAGAAGAAAATTCCTGTATCTTCCTCTTATTTAAAACAACATAAATCATCACATCCTTCACTTGGAGTCATAGTTTAATAACTATTTTAACTTGTTCATCTTTTTAAACGTATAAATAGTTTTATACATGTTTATGGAGATATTGAGTCAGCTCCTTCACACCAGTTCTAAATGAGGTTTTACAAACATTTACATAACTCTTAACACATTTTAAATTAATCTATTTGGGCTAATATTTTTATGAGATTTATACATGACTTGTAAAATACTATATTCAGCCAAATCATCAAATTGTAATAATTTAAACCGATGAAACAATATATTTGTTGGTCACCACAGCACTTCCTACTAATAATTCTAATTATGGCTCTTTTTTGTAAAATAGTGTTAAATAGTTTTGCATGCTTTTCCCCAAACTTGAGTCCAACAGATTAATATGGAACAGTCGTGACGTTGTACAATAAATATAAAGCTTTGTCATTAACAACGCTTACTTTATACAGTAATGTAATTTATTTTACCATTTTTATTCTTAAGTAATTTACATGAGATTTCCATGTCAGCTTCTCATCAGTAACTTCACCAAACATTACATTTAATTATATGAATTTTAATACTGTCAATTTTAAATGGGACTTTGATAATGATGTTATTATTAATTTTATTTCTAATTATCATGTTAGTTTTTTCCAAATGTAATAATTATTGTAAATGCCAGAAAGGGGGAGTCCTGATACGAGCCGTGATGAATTTAATTTACCGTATTCTACCGATGCATTTGACTTCTGGTCACATGACCTGGTGAGACTGGGTTTTACTGATCAATGATTTCAGTGCCGTGTTTGGCACCGTTCTGTCCGGTGGTGATGTTTAGATGGTTCTGGTCATTTTGAAGGTGCGATGGTTGTGACCACGAGTCCGTGAAGCTTCATGAAGATCTGCGAGCTCCGTCCTGTGAGCACCACCTGCTGGCTCAGTCTGGTACTGCAACAAGGAAGCTGCACACACGCGCAGGTCCTTCTGAACCATGGCTAAATAACCCGAGTGTCTTCTTCATGGACGGTTATGATTCATCTTGTTTAATAAGTGCAGCTTAGACAGGTGCGTTGTAAAACTCAACAGTTGCAGTAACCGCGTCGCTTCTGAAACGCCTCGTCTGACTTTTTGCTTTTTGCCCGACAGCACAGAAGTTAAAATGATACTTTGTTTGGAAACGCCCTTTTTGTCCCTTAAGCCATTGTCTGACGTGGACATCCAGGAGACACGTCCCCTGGCTCTGTCCTGGTGGCGTATGGGAGCGTAGCTCTGAGCCAAGACGTACAGTCCCGTTCCACGACGTCGGACAGAAAGCTGCGTCCCCGGCTCTGCCGGTGAGGACCGGCGTCCTGCATATTCCTACACCTTCCCAGAGTCCTTTGGGGCCGTTACTGGGGAGACAAACCATGCAGGACACATTGTTGGACATGACACGAACCATGCTGGACACATTGTTGGACATGAGACGAACCATGCAGGACACACTGTTGGACATGAGACGAACCATGCACAGGACACTGTTTGGGACATGAGACGAACCATGCAGGACACACTGTTGGACATGAGACGAA